CTTTGGTAGCATCCAGAGCACTTTACCGTATGAAAGTCACTAAAGTGTAGGGGCTCTCTGTAGGCACCGGTTCAACTTCCCCACATTCATTGAGTTGTATGGGTGTTGTCCTTAGCCATAGAGCCTTGCTGTCCGCTTGTGGAGCAGCTATCATCTTAGCCTGGGTTGTTTGGGGGATTCCCTTTGGCCAACAACTCAATAGATGTAACCCAATCTGTGTAGTGGAAGGTTTCTTAGATGACAAGAGATGGCCAGTCGGGGCTCTGTTTCCCTCATTATTTGGTGATTTCTGTTAGGTCTCAAAGAAACCCTGGAGAAATGGCTCACTGGGGGTATCAAAGCAGATGCTGGCAGCCTGGCTCTTAGCATAGCAAGTGCCTGTTACAGACTCATCCTGGCTGGTGCATCCCACCCCCTACCCTAAACCTCTACCCCTGCGCCTTCTCTGATTCCTTATAAGACCTAGCCATTTTGGCTCTGTGCTTCTCTTGGTCTCTGGGTTCCCATGTTCTCTCTTTGTTCCTTCTTTTTTCTCTTCTTCTCTTGCTCTGCCCCACCCCGTCTCCTCCCATGGACCAGGTCTGCTGGGCAGCTTCAGTCTTTTGGCCTGGTTCAGTCTGGACTCTTCCAGATGCTTCTGGTTGTTTTCTCCCTCATATCTACCATAAACCATCTCCTCAACCAAACCGGTCATGGCCTCATTTTTCATTTACTTTCATTTAGATCACCTTCATATATGTGTATATTTTAGGAAGTTTTGACTGTATTAGGTTTCCATACTACTCCTTAATTATGGCCCTTAATTATAGCTGTCTCTCCCATGTTCTTTCCTTGCCCCCCTCTCCCCTCTCCTTCCCTACTGGGATCCTCCTAGTCCAACCCCCCACCATATTCAGCCGTAACTATGTATTTCATTTTCTTTTCCTAATAGCTCTATCTGTCACTTCTGGTCCTTCATGCAGGGTGATTTTCCAATTCCATCCATTTACCTACAAATCGTATTTCTTTTTTTAGCAACCGAGTAATATTCCATTGTGTAAATGTACCACATTTTCTTTATCCATTCTCTCATTGAGGGACATCTGGGTTGCTTCCAACTTCTGGCTATTATGAATAGAGCAGCATTGAACATGGCTGAGCAGATGAATGTCTCTGTGGTAGGATGAAGCATTCTTTGGGTATACGCCCAAGGATGGTATAGCTGGATCTTGAGGTAGATCCATCCCCTCTTCCTGAGGAGCTGCCTCACTGATTTCTGTAGCATCTGTGGACATCTGTACTTCCCTGAGTGACACACCTCCTCCCACAAGGCCATACTTCCTGACCCTTTCTAAACAGTTCTGCCTACTGGAAAGCAAGTATATAAATATATGAGCACCTCATACAGACCACACTGTGTTCTTAGAGATGTATGGAAACACCCAGTCTCTGTGCTTTCTTCAGTTTTGACGTGTGCTATCAGGTTAATGAATGGTGCCTTCTACCTAATTGTGGAGCAGCCGTGGCTCTATGCAGGTGTGGTTACTGAAGGAACAGAACATTTGGCCTTTTGGTCTGGTCTGCTTCTGGGAGCAACATGCAGTGCAGGAACTGGTCTGCTGTGGACAGTCTCTGAGCCCTGCCTCTGTGTCCTAAGAAATCTGAGGCAAGGTATACCACTTCTCCGTTCTCAGAGTTCACATCTGTAGATTAAAGGGCTTTAGTTTAACTCTCTTCAGCTCCATGCTTCTGGGGTAATTGATCTGGAGAGAGAGATAGACAGGGGTGGGTGTGAAAATTTTTTGCTGCTATAGAGTGTGGGTCTGGGACTGGTACACCAGCATCACCAGGGAGGCAGTGACTTTTATTATTAAACTCTCTCCCCACCTTTAACTGGGGCAGAATCTTTCTCTGTCTCTCTGTCTCTCTGTCTGTGTATCTCTCTGTCTCTCTGTGTCTCTGTCTCTGTCTTTCTCTCTCTGTGTGTGTGTGTGTGTGTGTGTGTGTGTAGAATATAGCATACAGGGATGGTTTTCTCTTTCCACGTGTGGGTCCCAGGGGTTGAACTTACGCTGTTGGGCTTGCTAGCACATGTCTTTGCCTACTGAGACATCTCAGTAGCCCAAGATGTTTGTTCATTAACAAGTCCTAGTGGCTTTTTTTTTTCTCCCAGATAAATTTGGGGACTTAGATAGGCCTGGTGACTTCTCCAAGTCACCTAACTGATCATATGCTAACTGTACCTGACTCTAGAAAGGGGGCATAAAAAGAATCTTGTCTCAAATCTCATCTGAGTGTGGTGGCCCAGGCCTGTGATTCTAGCACTTGGGAGGTGAAGGAATGAGGATCAGAAGTTCAAGGACATCCTGTCTACAGGATTTGACACTAACAGGGCTATCATGAGACTTTGTCTCAAAAGTGAAACAAATCTTCTCCTTTTGCGGCTGCTATTGTTGGGAGTTTCTATATGTCAGTAGTCAGCATGGCCAGCAGGTAGGCTTCTAGAGCCCCAGGAGATGGGCTGACCTAGCCAGTCAGTTCCTCATAGACTGCCAGAGGTCAGCCCAGCCTTCCTGTCCACCCAGCCCCTCTCCTCACCAATTCCTTCACATTCTGATTCCAGTGGAATCTTGTTCCATATGTTTTGAATCAGGTCAAGCTGGCTCTGGCCACCCTGAGGTGGGGATCCACAGCTTTCCTCCTCTCTCCCTTCCCAAGCAGGGGATGACTTCCTCCTGGTGGCCCTCATTCCTCCCTCTCTTCTTTCATCTTCCAGAAGATCTAGTGCTTCGGATGACATACAGCAGAATTCTTTAAAAACCCTTGAGGGTTTTGAACTATTAGCAGGTTATTCCAGAAACTTCTATGCACAGTGCTTTGTAAAGTTTAAGAGGCCAGGGGGGCTCCTTTCCTTTCTCTTCTGTTAACACAGACAGACAGACAGACAGACAGACACACACACACACAGAAAGAGAGAGACAGAGACAGGGAGAGAGATATATACACACTCATAAGTATATACACACACATGTATACACACAGAAACATATATACACACATCACACATACATACACATGCATACACACACACACATATGAAAACATAGACACATTCACAGACACATGTACACACACCATACCTTTTAACTAGGGTATAGCTGGTTTTTTTTTTAAATGACAGATCATACTTTAGCAACAGTATAATCTAGTGGTTCTGATCTTTTATATTTATTTTACGTCAAATACTGTTGGGTTTGTTGGGTTCACCACTTACAAACTAGGTAAAATGGAACTGCCCATTTTCTTTGGGTACCAGACTCTCCTGGAGACATTTGATAAGATACAGAGATCCTAGACTTAAGGGACAGGAATCACTTGTGGAGGGCTCCAGGGAACAAGATCCCTGCGTGGTTTTCATGCGTGGTTGAGGTAAGGAGCTCCTGCTTTGGAGGGAAGACAGAATTCGGACAAGGAAAGACTGGGAGATCAAAGGAGAGCAGCTCGTTTGATGGGTACCACCCTGTGCGCATTGAAATCTAGGTTCCCCAAGCTCTGTGTCTGCTCTGTGCCTCAGTTGTCCTGTCTGTGAAAAAAAAAATATCTATGGAACTGTGATATTTGCCCTCTTGGTGGCTGTGAGAAATGACATGTGGAATACGTTTGAAGAGCACACGGCTCATGCCAAGGGCGCTGGATGCATTAGCTGTGAGCCTCGTTCCATGCCAGTTCCATGCCAGGTGAAGCACAGGCCCAAGGAGTGACTTTAAGAGAGGGAGGGAAGCACACCTGCCCACTTAGCAGTCTGAAGCTGAAGGCCTGGCAAATGTCAGCAGGAAGTTAACCTGGCAGGCTTTTGTTTTGTTTTGTATTAAGAAAAGAAACATAAGCATTGTCACAGTGGTTCTAAGCTGCAGTGAAGCCTGGAGACGTGCATTAGGCCAGTCTTATATTTTTCTCCTGCATGTGCACATGTGCAGGTGTGTGTGCAGGTATGTGCATGGGTGTGTGGAGGCCAGAGCCAGAGTTCAATGTCTGGTGTTGTCCTCCATTCCTCTCCACCTTATCTTTTTAATGTTTGAGATTATAATTTAATTGCCACATCTCCTTTTTCCCTTTCCTCCCTTCAAGTCCCTCCTCAGCCTCCTCAAATTCATGACCTCTTTTCATTGTTATGTGCACACATGCATGCACATATATTTGTATAGACACGTGTGTGTATGGTTTCAGGGATGACCGGATGGCATTAGCTAACCACCTGTGTGCTCTTCCATGGGAAGACCACCTCTCCCATGCCTGGCTTTCCTCAGTTGCCTCTAGTTCTTTGTGTAGGGTTAAGACCTCAGAGGCTTTTCTCTGTCTAGGTCAGCGTGTTCTTTCATGTCATCCTGGTTCGTCTCACAGTTGGGTGGCTATGTTGCTGAGACTTCACAGATATAACTTCTGATATTGCTAGAAAACACAATCTCACGCAAGTCCCCAACCCTCTTCCCGTCTCCCTGATCCCTCTTCCACAGTATTCTCTGAGCCTTATTCGTCTTACTACTTTAGACGCAGCCTTGTACTGAACTGGACCTGCCATTTTGGCTAGCCTGACTGATCTATGAATCATGGAGGTCTCCCTTGTCTGCCTTGTCTGCTGGGGTTATGAGTATATACCCTGGACCTAGTTTCTTCCTTTCAAACATAGATGCCAAGGAATCCATATTTAGATCCTCATGCTTCACCACTGAGCCATCTCCACAGCCATTAGATTTTTATTTATTTATTTATTTATTTATTTATTTATTTATTTGCCTGAGTGTTTATTTATGCAGTACTAGGGTACCTGGGACCTCCTACAGACTAAACTAGCAACCGTCCCACTGAGCTACACCCCAGAACTAAACATTTTAATAAAGATGACCAGAAAAATGTTCAGAAACCCCAGTTTCAGTGAAAGAAGCCTAGTATTCAGATCGAAAGGTATCCTGGGATTACGAAGGCATGAACACTAACTGCATATTTCATATCTGCTTTATTAGGCATGTCCGGAAAGTGGTAGAAGTATCCGGGAGGTACAGTGTGCATCCTACAACAACAAGCCATTCATGGGCAGGTTTTATGAATGGGAACCATTTGCGGAAGGTAAGGCACTGGGTCCCTCGGACTCAGCTGCGCCAGTAGGAATTATTATTATTATTGTGATTTTTCTTGCAGCTACCTCCCAAGTACTAGGATTTCAGGCATGTGTCCCCATGCCTGATTTCATGACTCATCCGTTTTTATAAATAGCCCACCTAGATCATGGGAAAATACTTAGGTTTGTATTACAGAGCACTGCTGCTTTCTTGCTAACTACACCAGGTATCTCGTCATTGCGAGAGAAACCCAAACTAAATATATTTCATCAAAAATGATACTTTGTTGATCATATTACTGAGAAATTAAAAAAAGGTGGACTAGGTTCAGATTGGCTGCATTCCTGAAAACCCAGATCTTCGCACTCAAAGCTCAGTATTTCTCACCTGGTGCTTTAGGTCAACACGTATGTGCCTCCCACCCCGACTCCTGCAAAGACATGCTAAAACTCTAGTTCAGAGGTTCTCAGCCTTCCTAATGCTATGACCCTTTAATACAGCTCCTCATGGTGTGGTGACCCCCCCCAACCATAAAATTTTTCTGACGTTACTTCCTAACTGTAATTTTGCTACTGTTATGAATCATGATGTAAATATTTTGGAAGTAGAGGTTTACCAAAAAAACATACTTTGGGAGATAGAGATTTTGTGACCCATGGGTTGATAACAGCTGCTCTAGTTTCTAATACCAGCAGATATGACTGTGTTACCTGGTTTTATGTTGACTTCACAGCAGCTACAGTTATTTTAAATGAGGGAACCTCAGTTAAGAAAATGCCCCCACCAGATTGGCCTGTGGGCAAGCTTGTAGCTTCTTGATTGACGATTGATGTGGGAGGGTCCAGGCCACTGTGGGCGGTGCCACCCCTGGGCAGGTGGTCTTGGTGTTTGTGCGAGAGCAGGCTGAGCAAGCCAGTAAGTAGCACTCTCCCACGACCTCTGCCCCAGTATCTGCCTCCAGGTTCCTGGCCTGCTTGAGTACCTGTCCTGACTTTAACAGATGGCAGAGTATGTGATGTTCTTTTCACTCTACTTGCTTTTGGTCACAGTGGGTTTTTTTTTTAATTTGTTTTTTGTTTGTTTGTTGTTCTTTTAAGAAAGGATTTCTCTGTGTAGCCTTGGGTGTCCTGAAATTCACTTGGTAGATCAGACTAACCCCAACCTCCTAGATTCACCTGCCTCTGCCTCCTGAGTGCTGGGATGAAAGATGTGTACCACCACTACCACCACCACACCCAGCTGAGTCACGGTATTTTGCCACAGCACTAGGAACCCCAAATAAGATTGTGACCTTGTCAGGAACCTTTCTAGTTGTAACCAGCATGGTAGGTAGTTAAGGTAAGCTGAGACTACGAGAGTAGAGTAGGAGGAGGGTGGGGTAGACCCTTGTGTGCTGTGCCTGCCCTCCTCAGAAGGGATATAATGACGTTCACTGAGAAATCAGTACAAAGTAACAGACAGCCATGACAGAGCCAGACAGGAAGTAAAGTAGCCTGACTGTAAGCCAGGAACACCAAAGATTGCCAGGAACTGCCAGAAACCAGGAAGAAACATGGTAAGACTCTTACACCACCACTCCGCCCTGACACTTTCAAGAGAGCAGACCCCTACTCACACCTTGTGTGTGACTTCTGGCCACCAGATCTGTAAGTCAGTGCTGTTGCCAGGAGTTTGTGTGGTGTGTGACATCAGTGCTAGGAACCTTGGTTTCTTGATCATTTTCAATGTCAAGAAAACTGTATAGTGATCTTTTCTGATCATATTTCCGCCCCTGGACTCTGTTTTAAGGCATGGATTCCCTGGGCCTGTTTAGGCCATGTATCTGACTTTGTTGTCAGGGACTCACATCCCATGAAACAGAGGACATCAAGTGGGGGATGGGCTGACATTCTTCCACCCAAATCAATGAGAGGTTTGGGGAGATGGCTTAGCCATTAAAGTACAAGTGAAGGGACCTTAGTTCAATCCTCAGCACCCATGTGAAAAGCCAGGCATGATGCATACTTGAAATTCCAGTGTTGGGAGATGAAGACAGATTCTAGGCTCTAGGGCTCAATGGCTAGCCAGCCTAGTAAGAGATCCTGTCTCAAAGAATAAGGTGGGTGGGTGGTCCTTGAGGTTGACTCTGATCTTCATGTGTACAGACAGCCACGTGTGTCTCATATCATTGAACACACACATACAAGTGTATGGGGGGAGACAGACAGACAGAGAGAGAGAGGGAGAGAGAGAGAGAGAGAGAGAGACAGAGAGAGAGAGAGAGAGACAGAGAGAGAGAGAGAGACAGAGACTGAAACAGAGACAGAGACTGAAACAGAGACAGAGACAGAATAGAGAGAATAGTATGTTTGTCTTCACTACAAGCCACATCCAAAATAATCCAGGATTTACCAACTATGTCTTACAGTGTGTTACTAAAGAAATTCAGCTGTCTCTTCTAATATTTACTGACAGTGGTGTTTCTCACATAGCTGCAAGGAGAGACAAATGGTTATGGAAGTGGCATTTATTTTGGCTTTGTCTAAATAATTTTTCTTCTTTTTTTTTCCCCACTAACATTCTTTTCTTGATGTTATTCTTCTTCCTTTCAAATGACTCCCAGGCTGAGCAGTGGGAGGGAGAGGCTGCTAGTGTTTCTGTGTGGTGTTCAGACTTGACGGCTGGATTTTGCATTGGGCCCTGGGCTGTGTTCCTAGGTCTTCTGCTATTCGCTCGTGCCTACTTAGGGAAACAGCTGCACTCATTCATCCCAATGCCACATAGAATAGTAAAAGCAGAGCAGAGCGCAGGCTCTGATAAACACATCAATTTCACCCGATGGTTCTTCCAGGGCCTTTAACCACATTTCCTGGATATGATGACCCCTCGGCTCATGCCTCTAGGAATTTTTCTCACAGTCCTAGACCTTAAGCATGTAACAGGGTGGAGGGAGAATTGGGGTGCCCTGGGTCTTGTTTGAGGCTGTCATATCAGCTCTCCTGCATTCTCATATTTGGTTTGGATAATGTCACCATACCTAGAATGGAACAGTTTAATATGAAGACCTGGACACTGGGCCAAACATATAGTATTCCATCTAGTGCTGTGCATGATAGATACATCCCAGGTCCCCGATAGGTGCTGGGACATTGGATAGTAGCACGTCCTGTACACCGTGTGATCTTAGTGACTTCCCCATTGTGGTAGTAAAATACCCATATAAAAGCAACCTCACAGAGAAAGGGTTTACTCTGGCTTATGGTTTCTGAGGATTACAATCCATCATGGTGAAGACGACTTGGAACCAGACAGGGGAAGCATGACAGCAGATGCAGGAAGACGGCTGGTCACAGCGAGTTTGGATGCAGAAAGCAGAGTGAACAGGAAGTGGTACTGGGCGATAAAATGTCCCAGTCTATCCCCAACCCCCCACCCTATGACCCACTTCTTCCAGCAAGACTCCACCTCCTAAAGTTTCACTCCCTTCCAAAACAGTGCCACCAACTGGGGGCCAAGTGTTCAAATAGGTGAGCCCATGGAGGTACATTTGGCTTTCAAAACACAAGTGTTTTTTTTTTTTTTCATGTATGTATGTATGTACCTAGGGTAAACAATTATACACACTCTAGTGAAAGTTGTGTGACTGTGATTTCTCTTTCAAGACACCATATTGGTCCTGTCAATCTTAGCAACCATTACATATGAGTCAGCCTCCCTCTCTGTCTGTCTGTCTGTCTGTCTGTCTCTCTGTCTCTCTGTCTGTCTGTCTGACTCTCTCTCTCTCTGTGTGTGTGTGTGTGTGTCTGTGTGTCTGTGTGTGTCTGTGTGTCTGTGTGTCTGTGTGTCTGTGTGTCTGTGTGTGTGTGTGTAAAGATGCCAGTGGTGGATATATGCACCCATGCTCATGCATGCTGAAGCCAGAGAAAAGGACAGCAGGTGTTATCTCAGCTGCTGTCTGCCTTCATCCCTTGAAACAGAGCCTCACGTTAAACTGGAAAATCACCAGCAAGCACTCAGAATCTTCCTATCTCTACCCCACAGCTCTGGAGTTACAGGCATATGCAGCCGTTCCTTACTTTTTTCCATGGGTGCTAGGGATTCAAACTCAGATCCTTATGCTTGCACTGCAGGTGATGTTACCTATTGTATTGTCTCCCTGGTCCCGGTTCTCTGTTTTAGTTTTAGGAAGTACTATCCTGCTTCTCTTTGGCACATCTCATTTGTCAGCCTCCATAGCCTTGTGCTGCACGGCCATTATCACATTGAACAGGACATTGTGATACCATATGGCAGCCGAAATGATGACAGGGGCAGCCATGACGTGAGCAACAGGTGCACTGTATCGATGTCATGGATATGCTTGACAAAGGGATGAGTCATATCCCAGGAGGGATGGAGAGGGATGGTGGAAGATTTTATCATGCTACTCAGAATGGCGTGCAAGTTACAATTCAAGAACTGCTCGCTTCTAGAATTTTCCATTCAATACTCTTTCAGTTAGGACTGGCCCTACAAAGTGAAACTGGGAAGGGAAACCACACATCAGGAGACACCACTGTGCTTGTTGTCAGGTAAGGACATTGGGGCAGCTAATACTCAAGTGTCACGTTTTGTTAGGTTATTGTAGTAGAGATGCCAGACACCAGCACTTATTTATTCCATGGCACTGGGCATGAACTCAGGGCCTCATGCGCGCTAAGCAGTCTACCACTGATTTATACACCCAGGCTAGAGGGCAGGGTCAAGTCATAGCCACAGCAGTGGATTTGTATTCCTAAGAGCTGAGCTGAAGAGAGTGGAATTCTGAAAGGCAGAGAGGAGGCTGAGTCAGGAGTGGGCGCTCGTCTGCTGCTGACATAAACATGTCAATTACATTTGGTCAGGAGTGACTGGTGTATGCTGCGGTAACATCCCCAGACCTGATGACTTCACCTTAAAGTTTCTATTGCCCAGACTTCATGGCAATGAATGTGTCCTACTCATGTGGAGTCCCCAGCTGGTAAAAACTATGTCTCAATTCAGGCTTCT